AAAACAATGGAGTCTATACATTTAGGATTCAAGGATAGATGTATCATATTTTAAATGATTTAATACCAAGTAATGGTTCGGGGACAAACATGCAGCTTTACTTTCATGATATTAGAAAAGAAGTATCTAATCATCTTGGTGCTTGTCCTAGATTATCTGAAAGTGTGATAAAGAAATTAATCACTGTTCTTTAGCATAATCCATATGCTCAATTCTTTAGGAATCTATGTTACACTCCTAACTTAGACAGCTACAAAATAGTGTTGCATACTCTTCCTGGTTTAGATTAGAGAGTATATAACAAACCAACTGAATCAAAGGTTGCAACATTATGGGTAGAAAGAGAAGAAAATGGTAAGAATAGCCGCCATAATATACAAGTGTACACTCATGGTCGCTCTCCACATAACATTGAGTATTATTATGGCTGCTATGATCCATTATAGTACCCTTTAACATTTCCATTTAGAGAGCTTGGTTGGCATCAAAGAATTCCAAAGAAAGGATTGAAAGGAATAAACACAAAAGAAAAAAGGGAAAAAGAATCGGTTGAAATGATCGCACTTGCAGGTGCATTAAGTGCTGATGAACTGCTCTACAATGAAGAAATTGGTCAGTCAAAACTAAAAGTTAGTTCATGTATTATTATAAGTACAGAATATTTAGTCATTCTAAACAATTATACGGTGTCGTCTTACAACAATGCATAGATTGGAAGAGAATCCAGCTTTTGTTTCATTGAGGGAATATTATGTGTACAAACTTTAGATCCAGCAGTATGTCAATGATGGCTATGTGAAGATTGAGAAACAAATGCTTGACTTTTTCAGGTCACAGCAGGAAGAAATCAAGAGAGAATTTTTGAATGGCATAATGGATGCAGTGGCTGCTGGAGAAACTCAAGGGTCAAATATTGGCCAGCGACTTATATTGCTGCCAAGTTTCATAGGAGGTCCTAGAAATATGCGTCGCAGATACATGGATGCGATGACTTTGGTGCAAAAATTTGGAAAACCTGATCTGTTTTTGACAATGACTTGCAATCCTAATTGGCCATAAGTAAAGGAGCATTTGATTCCCACAGATGAAACACAGAATCGGCTAGATTTAATTTCAAGAGTCTTTCATGTTAAGTTAGAAAAGTTGAAAGATGGACTTTTTAAGAAGCACATTTTTGGTGAGATTGCTGCTTATACATATGTAATTGAGTATCAAAAGTGAGGTATGCCTCATGCACATTTCCTTTTGATTCTCAAATCCAAGTACAAGTTGTATACTGCAAATGAATATGACAAGATAGTTTGTGCTGAGATACTTGACAAGCAGAAATTTCCCCATCTATATAAAATGGTAGTTAAAAATATGTTTCATGGTCCTTGTGGTTCAGCAAATCCACAGAATGTCTGCATGGAAAAAATGGAGTCTGTAAAAACTCTTATCCAAAAGAGTTCTGTGATACAACCATTCAAACAGTTGATGCATATCCAAAGTATAGACGAAGAGATAATGGCATTAAAGTCCAAGTAAGGAATGTATGGCTCAATAATCGCAGGGTTGTCCCTTATAACGTGTGACAGCCCCACTTTCCCTTAAGGCGAACCAAAGAGGTTAGCGGACTGCCTGCCCAGCTCTCGCCAGGACTAACGGTGCAGTATAGAGCGATCTTTCACGTTCCAGAACTTATAACGCGCGCCAATAAGGCAAAAGGGCAAAATAACCCAAAATAAAAGAAAATGAAATCTGGAGTCGGCCATGAATAGTAACCGACTCGTCCGAACCCAACCAAACATCGAATTACATATACCACATAACATTTAGCCTTTCAAACCAAAATGACGTTTAAAAGTGATACAAAAGTCACTACATATATGGTTTGCCAAAACAAAAGTGAAAACGGCCCTAATGATACATTTAGGGTCCCATTTTATATACAATACAAAAGAGTCATTCATCTAGTTCATTCGGCAACCATTTATCAAAATTCATTCCAAAAGAGTCATATTCCTGTAAGGAAAACAAAAGGAACGGGGTGAGCTAATTGCCCAGTGAGAATACAACTCAAGCAACCAAGTTCATGGATACATCAAGCTTAATAGTCCAATTTACCAAAATAAATAAAGCCACACATTAATAATGAGGATAAAAGGATACGGGTGGCTCTCAAGAGCCCTTTTCCTCGTTTGAATTCTTGATCAGGTCTCATTGACTCTCCGTCAATGTCTGAAAGGTAACCAACCGTAGACTCCTCTTAACTTCCATTCCCTTCCTCCTAACATTCCTCAACCGGGCCCGAAATCCAAACACTTGCATTGTGGTATTACTCAAGTAAACCGGAATCAAGAGTCTCTCATACTACAAGATTCCCTATGATGTTGCCCCAAGGCACATTAATTGGCACGACCAAGCCCTCGTCGGCTCGATTCAATCAATAACCAATGGGTTGAGCTCATGGATAATATTTGAAGTCATGTATTTCATTTCATATAACATTTCATATAACTTTCCAATAACATGCGAAACAATAAGTGAAAGTGATAAAGTACACTCTCACTTGGATCAATCAACATTCAACATCTCAAGTACAAAGATCAAAGCCATGTAATAGCACATAAGTGAGTAGTACACTCACCAAGCTAGCACAATGTGGTTTCAAACACTTTAGTCAAAAGAACGTTGTGCACCACCGTCACGCCCTAAAAACATGCAAACAAATACAATGAGACTCGATAACGAGTCATAAACCAAGGCCAAACATGACCCCAATAAGGTTCCATAAACATTTACAAACAATAGAGGAAACCAGAAATTTCGGAAATGTAACTAGCATTGGCCCGGAAAAATACAGTTTTGACGTCATTTTGCGGTAATGGCACAACTCTCACTACAATTATCGGATGGGGGTGTAAGACCCACCATTTCGAATCCAAGAAACAGAGCTACAACAATGTAGAAGGTCACTCAATCCAGTTCCTAACACAACTAGGTCAAATATGCAAAATACTATACCAGAATTCCCAAAACAGGTTTGCAAATCACACAAAACTGTAATTACTATAACTCAGTCCATACAAGTCCAAATGCCGAAATTCCAAAGGCATAAGTTAGCTAAGACATCCAGCTACATTTCATTAGAAGACACCAACTCTAAAATCCAAACCAATTCCAGTCAAAATGGCCAATTACTATCGCAGTTTTCGCATTCTGATCAAAGCAGAACAGCTACAGTAATGTCGTCATATCTCACTCTACACTAATCCAAATGACCTGAAATTTTGTAGACACCTTTAAAATGTCATTCCCTACAACTTTCATGTTTTGAGCTAAGGCCAATTCGGCCTCTATCTAGTACCTACAAATTCGGACAGAATGTACCCTTAAGAACCCTAGATTTTCCAATTTTCTTCCAAAACAGAAATTGGTTGCAATTAATCACTTTTCCCACCTCCTTAAGTCATTATAGATCATTTCCATACATCATAGAGAGCCACACCATCATGCTTGAATTAAAACAGAAAATTCCCCAAAAATAATAAAAAGTCATCAATTCAACCACAAATCAAGAATTAATCCATAAACTTGCATCTTCTACTTCCACTAAGCATGATTTGAGCATCAATTAAAGAAGGAGGGTGGTTCTTCACAACTTACCTTTAAAACAAGAGAGAAAGAGCTATGGGTCACCTTAACCTTCCAAATAACTTCACACAACAACTCACCACCACTACTTGAAGGTGTTTTATGGAGAAAAATCAAGGTTGGATGGTTGGTTTTGATGATTGAAGCAAGATTGAAGCCAAAACTTGAAGAGGTTTTCTTTCTTCCTTTGAGAGAGAGGGCCGGCACTTGAGAGGAGAAAATGGTGCAATTTTTGGTTAATTTTGTGATTTATTTGGTCAATGGTAAGACATGGAATAGTAGTCTTAAAGGTAACCCAATCAAATGGTGACACTTGTCACCCAATTTAATGCAAGTCTATCACTTTGTTCCCTCTCACATCAATCCAAATAGCTTCCTCTAATTATCTCTTAACACCCGATAAAATAATTTCAGTATCCAAAACTTAATCTAGTTGGCCGAATTTTTCCGAACTTTTCGCACTAGTGGGTCCCACGTCCACTATTTACTCTTAATTTTCTAAAAACTCTCCAATACTAGAAAAATCATCTTAAAACTATAATTACGCATAAAATCTACCAGAAAATATTTCTAAACCCGAAAATGCAAAAATATATGCAATTAAGGGGTAATAAACCCTAGGAAAATAATTAGGGTTTTACGGGTTCTCACATAACGCATATCTACTTGCAAAAATTGACTGCCACATCAACATTGAGAAATGCTCGACAGTAAAGGCAGTCAAATATATATACAAGTACATTTGTAAGGGACATGACAGAACCACCTTTCGAGTTATTGTTGATAGTGCACATTGGGAGATTGATGAAATCAAACAGTACGTGTCAACAAGATGGATATCTCCTCCAGAGGCTACTTGGAGAATTTATAGATTTCCAACTAGCGAGATAAAGCCAGCTGTTATCCACTTACAGTTGCATCTGGAAAACCAACAACCGATGAGCTTCAAGAAGAACACTGACTTGCGTAATGTTCTGAATAATACTCACTTGAGAAGAACAATGTTAACTGAATTCTTTTGCATGAACAGAATAAATAAGGTAGCTTAGGATTTGAATTGCACCTATGTGCAATTTCCAGAACATTTTGTTTGGAAACCAAGCAAAAGAATATGGAAAATTCGTGAGCAGAGAGATTCTATAGGTAGAATAGTTGCTGCACTTCCTAGTGAAGGTGAAAGATATTATCTGAGACTGTTGTTGACAAAAGTCAGATGTCCAACATCATTTGCAGATCTCAAAACTTTTGGTGGAGTTCAAGTGCAGACTTTCCATGAAGCAGTGCTGTTGAGAGGATTACTGGAACATGATAATAGCTAGGAATTTTGTTTGCAAGAAGCTTCTCACTTTCATATGCCATATGAAATGAGAAGATTGTTTGCAACCCTGCTGGTTTATTCATGCCCCAATGATCCGCCAGCATTGTGGACTAAATTTGAAGATGTTATGTCTGAAGATTTTCTTAGATGCAAAACCTTAATAGCAAGCCAAGTTAGGACAAAGGTACTTGATCAAATAAATGGCTTCTTACAATCTATGGGGAAAACCATTTCTTCATTCAACTTGTACCCCTATGATTTCTCAATGGATGATATGGAAAGTCAGACAAGAGAGTTAAATGTGGAAAGAAACATAATTGTTGCAGTAGCTAATTTGGATGCTTGTATTCCGTTGAATCAAAAGCAAAAAGAACCATTTAATGTCATTTGTGAAAAAGTTTACAACAACAAAAGTGGTGCTTTCTTCATTGATGGTCCAGGGAGTACCGGAAAAACTTTTTTATATCGTGCATTACTCGCTGATATAAGGTCAAAAGGTCATATTGTACTTACTACCGCAACATCTGGCATAGCTGCTTCAATCCTTCCTGGAGGAAGAACAGCTCACTTACGATTCAAAATCCCAATAGATATTTCTAATGGAGGAACTTGTCGCATCAGTAAGCAAAGCTCTCTAACAACTTTGATCAGAGAATCAAAGTTGATCATTTGGGATGAGGCTCCAATGTGTAAACGAGCAGCTATTGAAGCATTGGATGATCTGCTTAAAAACATCATGAACTCAAATGAAATTTTTGGAGGAAAGGTAGTGGTTTTTGGAGGAGATTTTAGGCAAACATTACTGATTGTTCATAGTGGAACTAAGGCTGAAACAGTTAATGCTTGCTTGATTAATTCTCTCTTGTGGCCCTGCCTGCAAAAGTTACAATTAACTAAAAACATGAGAGCAAAATTAGATCCATTGTTTACACAAATTCTATTGAAAATAGGAGATGGTTTAGAACAGGCAGACAGCGGTGATTCAGTTGTTATACCATCTTCAATTTTGATCAAGTACACCAATGAGGTTGATTCACTTGAAAGACTAATAGATGCTGTCTATCCTGATATTAACAGTATATCAGAAAATGCAACTTTGTCTTTGAACAGAGCAATACTGACAACAAAAAACTACTTTGTTGATGAAATCAATGATCTGATGATAGAAAAGTTTCCAGGAGAAAGCATTGAATATATCAGTTTTGATCAAACAGTTGACCCAAATCATCAGGCTGAGTATGTTAATTTCCTTAACACATTAAGTCCAAGTGGTTTACCTCCTCACAGGCTTGTGCTTAGGCCACATGAACCAATAATTTTGTTACGAAATCTTGATCCAACTGAAGGGCTATGCAATGGAACAAGACTAATCTGCAAGTCTTTGACTAAAAATGTCATTCATGCACAGATAGCAGTTGGTCACTTTACTAGCAAAAAAGTCTTCATACATAGGATTCCTTTGCAACCTACAAATGATGAGCAATACCTTGTTCCTTACAAAAGGACTCAGTTTCCTGTTCGTTTATGTTTTGCTATGACTATCAACAAATCTCAAGGACAAACACTTGATTTTGTTGGTCTGTATTTGAAGGAACCTGTGTTCTCCCACGGACAATTATATGTTGCTTTGTCCCATGCAAGAACATCAAATGCTGCTCGAGTTTTGATTAAACCAGAGTATTTTAGCTCAAATGATATTGATTGCACAAAAAATATAGTTTATAGAGAAATATTTGACCAATCTTGTTATCTATCTAAAAGTAAATATCCAACTTTACTTGCTGCCTTTTTTCTGTGATGAAATCTATAAATGTCATATCAAGATTCATATGTACCCTGACTTTGTTTTGTTGTTATTATTTCAGGACAAGATGAGCAGACGTTTGTTTGACATACTTAATGTCAATAAACAAACTGTGTGAGGACTTGCAAAATTCCTTATATTTTTCTTAAAAATTCCCTTTTATTTGGAAATTATTACTTTATAATGGCCCTACTACCCAATCACCCCGCAATAAGTGCAAATGAACACAGAATTAAGGGTTTTTCCTTTCGTTTTCAAGTTACCAAAAATTAGGGTTTTTACGCCTATCCGTAGGTGACTATCCGGTACGGAGTGTGTATCCAATTTGGTGATTAAAAGTGAGTTTTAGATGATATTAAGTGTGTGATTATAAGTAATAATAATAAGTTAGTGAATTATAAGATAAAACACTAGTATACGCGATTTAAGGAAAAACGGCTTGAACCGACGAGTGCCGTTCACTACCAATTGAACATACCATTTGACCAACATTTTTAGCAAGTTAATCTCATTGTTATTAGAGCCAAAATATCAGCTCTAAAGCTGATCAAGGGGGCCGAAATATTTGACCCAAAAACCCAAGGAAAATAAAAAAAAAGTGAGATGTGATCTTGTGTGGACAAGTGGCATCCATCCAAGGACCTTTGACCCAAACCATGACTAAACCATAAAACCATCTTGGAGCTTCATTCTTCTTCATTTTTCCAGTTTGTAGCCGTGAGCTTTGAGAGGAAATCAAGAGAAAGAAAGCTCTAAATCCATCTTGGGTTTTGCTTGATTTGGTGAGAAAACAAGAAAACTAAACCGATTAACTTGCAAATTGAGAGCTTGGGAAGCTAAAGAGCTAAAAATCACAAGGAAAGGTGAAGGATAACTCTTCAAGCCCTTTTATTGAGGTATATTGGCTGTCCATCACATTTATTTCCCTTATTCTTGCTTAAGTTGAGTAGTAACTTGTAATCTTGCTTGTGATGCCTACTTCAAGTGATTTTGGATGATTGTGGTGATGAATTTTGAGTTAGGGTTTGAATGGTTAACTTATAATTTTTGTTGTTTGGATGGCATATGATGGTTATCATCTTGTATAGGAAGTTGAGGTAGTGAATCAAGCCAGAAATAAGAAAATTAGCATTGGACTGCATGAATTTCAGTTTTCAGTTTTGAAGATACCCTATTCTGACCGGTTCTATTTGACCATTAGGGAGGCTGAATTAGGCTTAGTACAAAACATGAAAGTTGTAGAGAATGATATTTTATAGCTGACAGTAAAAGTTTAGCTCAATCTGAGCACTGTAGCATGTGAAAAGATAAAAATACCCCTGACTGCCATAGGTAGAACTTTGTAGCCAGTTTTGACATTTCACCAATCTGACCACACTTTTTTCACCCTGATCTGTATTGAATTAGCATTTGGCCAAACACAGAAGTTTTAGTGCTATGTCTTAGTTTTCCAACGGCTCTGAAAAAGGCCTCAATCGGACTTCGGTATTCTGAGTTATTGTCGTTTATGCATAGTGCGGTTAACTAGCCTGATTGTGAGATTCTGGTTCTGTAATTGGAAATTTTGACTTGGATACACTATGAACTGGACTGAGTGGTCATCATCAAAGTTGTATCCCTTTATCTTAGCTTCGAAACGGTATAAATTTCACACCAATTCGATAAGTGTAGCTTTGGTTGTGTCCGATACGCTAAGCGACGTCAAATCTGTCTTTTGTTTTATGACTTAAACTTCATTTCCGGACATTTTCCTAGCTTTATTTTGTCCTTGTCTGACTTTGAGCCTAGTGAAATGAGATTATTTTGTGTGTGACTTTGGGACTGATTGAGGAAAGAATGAAGCCATAAATGGTGGAAAAATAGGTAAATACAAAGGGCGTACTGCCCAAATTTGCGCTCGGAGGGCTAGGTAGATATACTCGCGATTTGTGTAAGGATTTGAGAAGTAATACCACTTGAACTATCTAGGATAGTTGCGTCTTCTTATATCAAGGTATATAAGTTAGAACTTGGCCGACCTTGTACCTTGGGAAAATGGAAACAACGACTAATAGAAATACGTTTTCCTTGTTCTTTTGACTCAAATGGTATTTGCAGGTATAATTGTTACCAAGTCTCAAAGTTTTGAAAAGCGGCATGAATTTTTCAAAATTGATAAGTATCTTGAATACTACTTAAACGAGTTACATTTACTTGGTTTTCTTGAAAACGAAATTCCTATGTTTTCGAACTCTAGAGAGTTTTACATTCGTAAATGATATTTTATCGCAGATTTGGACTGCAACCAAGAAGTGGACTTGAACGTGACTTTGAGAGGCACTAGACCTTTGGTGAGTGCTTTCAAATACCTGATTGAACTGGACACTTGTTTTCAATACTTGACCAATGTGATTTAATGATATGTCATTTGTTTGATCAGGCAAGAGTGTACTTTATCGCACTTGCCCTAATATGGGATATACTTGTTTATTGTTGCAATGGATTTGATATATTTGAGTATATGGTGCGCGCACTTCCTGGAATTCTAGAAACCCTGTGGCGAGTTACTCGAGTCGAGCCGGCAAGGGCTTGGTCGATTGGGTAACGAACCCTGGATCTTGTTTTGTCAAGTGGAGTGATATCTCCTCGACTAATCGGTATACTCGAGTATTACCACCAGTGTTTATTGAGGATTTTAGGCCCAGTAGGGGGTTTGGATGATGTACGGAGAGTAGTTTAAGTGTGCTCTACTGGATTGGTTACTTATTTGAAAATTGACGGAGTGTCAACTATTACTTGATCAAGCTCAGGTGATGAAATGGGAATTTGGCTCCTGAGAGCCATCCATATCTTTATACTTTGGAATGATTCATACTTATCGTGTTATTGTTTCGTTTTAAAAGAAAACTTTATACTCGCTCATTTTGAGATTTGCTACTTGAAGTGTTATTGCTCACTTTTATGAACTTTTCATGCTCATTACATTGCTACGTGATACTTGCACATTTAAATAATGGTCAACTTGTTATTTAGAACCTCACTGGATTTTTAACTCATTCCACGTTATTTGTTTTCCTTACAGGGGGTACGAGCGAGGCGTGAGACATGTATAGACTAGCGTAGTCTAGTTGTTTTGAATTTTGAATTTGTACTCATGCTAGTACCCGACTAGGGTTAATTGTACTCGAATTGTAAACACTTTGAAGTATTTTGGTATGTAGAAGCTTTGTATCTGGATTTGAGCATCAATGTTTATATGAAGTTGAAGTGGATGTGTTATTTATTTTCTATGGATGTACGTTAGTTTCTTGAGCTATGAGTGAGTGAGTCCTGACGAGAGTTGGGCAGGCAACTCGCTAAACCTAGGGTACGCCCTAAGGGGAGGTGGGGCCGTATCAGATGCTATCAGAGCTCCTATCGAGCTCGTGCCAGGAGAGGGTTCTCGGACTATGGGGATTAGCTTGTTAAGTGTGAAACAAATGTCTATTGTTGGGGACCTTAGATCTATATGTTGGGTTGGAATCTCAAAAGTGGTTGATTCCCTCTTGAGCGTAGCTAACTCAAGTGGGGAATGATCATATTTTTGGATTCTTGTACCCGAATACCAAAGAGTGATATCTTTATAATAAGTCGATATCCCAAGTAATATGAGAGTAAGTTTGAATGGCCAAAGCCAAGACACGGGGAATGCGAATAGTCTGGACTTAGGATATATTGAAGATATTAGTAAGATTGGGAACCCTTATTCTTTACGCGTACTTACTTGGTTGTACTTCTTCAAGTCTTGATTAAGTGTAGTGCTTGAGAAATACCTAGGGTTAATGTCCCATAGGATGTGTGAATTGCTATGATATGTACATAAAGAAAGTATGTTATTTTCAATGTGTTTTATTAGTTCTCGTTTTATGATTTGAAAACGCTTTTATCGGCCTTTATAGCTACGTTATTTTGCTTATATTTATACTTATATAGGAAAAGAGGTATGAAGGGTAGACGGAGTCAAGGACGTGGAACTATCCAGGACGCAGTTCTACCCATGGCCATGGGGCTTGACAGGCACAAGAACCAGTACGGGAACTAAAAGAAGAGAGAGGTGAAACGGTTGAACCACAACTTGGACCTCGAGCTGAAGGGAGGACCAGGTAGCAATGGCAATTCAGCAAATAACCAATATACTTGCTCGACTGGTAGAGCAGCAGGGTCAAGCCCTGTTAATCAACCCAGGGATCCTGAAATGAGACAAGATAGGGCTCTAGAGAGATTTCAGAAGTTTTTCCCTCCTAAGTTTTTGGGAGAGTCGGACCCTGAGGCAGCTGAGAGGTGGTTAGAGTCGATGATCAATATTTGTGCTGCCTTAAACTATACGGAGCATAGGCTTGTGCATTTCGCTGTATTTCATGAAGGACAAGCTAGGGCCTGGTAACGTGATTCTGGCTAAAATGGAAAGAGAGGGAACCGCACGGACTGGTTGAATTTTGTGACGGCCCCACCCCCTAGGGCGTTTCCCAGGGTTCGGCAGGTCGCCTACCAGCTCTCGCCGGGACTCAATACTTAAAATGGGAAAATAGATTCCACGCAAAAGAAAGCTCTATTAACTCTATTACAGCTTCAAAAGTTGCATAAACTAGTTCATCAAGTCATACATACCACGAGTACCAGAAAGTAATCCCTAGAAAAGGTGTTAACAACAACCACCACGATAACTATATACATCTTACTCGTCAACTTATACAAGTACAAGTTTAACTATTCTATAGCTCAAAGGTCTAACACCTGCCGAGCGATCCCGCGTTGGCCCCCTGCTAAGGAAAACAAATGGAATGGGTAAGCTATATGCTTAGTGAGCAATCAGGGGAAAATAAAACTCACATAATTAAACAAAGTAAATCAGGATATTTCACATCAATAACAGAAAAGTAACATCACAGTGTAGGATACGGGTGGCTCCAAAGCCAGTTCAATTCCCCGAACTTGAACGCCTGTTGACACTCCGTCAACCAAGTACTCATGGTCCG